GTTTGGATGATTCATAATGAACAGTTTCTCTAACCGAAGAGGTACTTATGATGCTTACAAAGCCAATCAGGACGTCTGCAATCTTGTCAAGCAGAGGTACACACCCACATAGTAGATTATGGATGGATCGTGTGACTCGGATATATTAAGGCCCTAGCATGGTATCAATCCTGTGGGTTCGACTCCAACCTATTGAGTACCTATTCAGTCTCACGTTGCTGCTGCCATTTGCCGCTTTCCCGCCCCTTCGTGCGACACTGAAACACACATCGCCTCCTTGCGAGGGTGGGAGGATACCGCGTCATCAGGGAAAATGCAATCAGGGAAAATGCAAACGAGGGCGAGGCTAGAGGAAGAAGGGGAAAAAAAAAAGCGCTCAATCCTCATGTGATATTGACAAACACCGCCAATTCAGCAGGAATTTGCGATCGCAAACAGATGCTTCAGGGCAGTTAGTTACGGTGTAGTGTGTCGAAGAAATGTGACTGGGATGCATGTGCCATTGTGCTCGCCTCAGGGCGTCGGGCACCATCCTATCACTCGACGTCGCTAATCATCTCCTGGACATGTCCATGACGGGCCGCCCCGACTTCCCGCCGATCTTATGCATGAAGTGTAAGGTAGTGTGGCATGCCTTCAGAACCCGTCATCATCATCATCATCATCATCATCATCATCATCATCATCATCATCATCATTTACCATTGCAGTGGCAGTGCTCCTCGGCGATGATGAGCTATCACGATAAGCAGGCCTTTGTCCTTTTTTCCTTCGCGTAGGTCGGTTATCGTCACTTAAATGTTTGTTGCTATTGCTCCGTTTGGAGTCATGGCATATTACTTCTTCTTGGGAGCTCTACTTTGCTGTCTGTCCATCTCTTTTCCTAATTTCGACCTTCCTACGACGCATGAAATCATCACCAGTGTCAACCTGCAAGTCACAACGATATCGGAGATATCCTTCCTGACATGTGGGAATCTAAGGTAGAGGTCTATCCTCCGACGCTCTCCGTCCAGCGGTCAATGACAAGACGCAACGCACCGGACACTCAAACCTCTAAAATAAATAAACTGAGATCATTAAGTCTGATGTTTCACACGGCCGAAGGTCACAGCCAGCCTCACTTTGCCCTAGTGATTAGTATCACCACATATAGGTCCTTGACAGCCATGAATAATCTGATGCTTTATTTAGCGTCGGGGTCATCTATGCGTCTGATACCGTACATCAGATACGGTAATAGAACACTGGTAATACAATAACAGTAAGTTATACTGCGTTTTTCCTTTTCTTTTTTACCGACCATCTTTTCCGTAGGCTGATAGGCTGGGCTATTCTTCTTTGTCCCAACTTGTTGCCACGTTTTTTTGAACCCGATCGGCGCGGTGCATTGCCGTCCGCGTCTTTCCGTTGCCGCCAAAACCCACCGTCAGCTGGTGGGCTACACATTATTGGGCTCAGTGGGCTGTCCTTGGCCCCTTTCAGGCCTCCAGGCTCCCGCTCTGTGTGGTCAGTGGTCAGGGGTCACTAGTCACTCCGTCACTGTGGCCTTGGTCTCTGGGCTCTCCAGGATGCAGTCCCCACCCGCACTAACGGCCGCTTGTCCAGTGACCAAGTCGCTTTGGTTAGTGACTCTAGCAAGATCTTGCCGTTCCATGGTTCCTAACCAACTTGTTGTCTTAGGCGCAAGGTTCGGGGTACAGCATCCCGTCGCGCAGCCCAACCAAGTCAATCCATTTCCCTGTCCGCATTGCGAATTTGCCAGCCATCGCAGTATCGCTAATTTAGTAAGAGTAGGACAACAGCATCCTGCAAACAGAAAATTGATCCGGTTTCGATTGCTCACTCTGAGGCCAACTGGCATAGCTTTGTCCATTGGTCTGCAAGCGTATCCACCCGACCAGCCTGCTTTGCGATCGACGGGAAGCCCGCATACGGATTCAATCACGTGATTATACACAACCCAATCAGGGTCAAGGGACTTGGCCGGGTTCCTAGCCATCATAGGTTGGCTCGATGATGTTTCCTATTGTGGCTTATCTGCGCGCTTAAAAACGTGCTTTGGATGGTTAGACAGTAGTCTAGCAGTGGTGACAGGCATCTCACCCACTTTTGTCCGAATCTCGAAAAGGCAAATATGCAAGTCTTTCTGATTGCCTATGTCCGTGCTTACTGCTTACCCGACTGCAGCACCGCATTTTGTGCTCACTTACACATACAAGCGTGATCCTCCCTGATGACGTGGCAGAACAGGAAGTCAGCGAGGCACCATTATTTTATGTGTCTTGCTTGACGTGCTCATTCCACCAGTCTCAAGTCACAATCCAGTGCGCACCGCAACAAGTGTCCTTATTTCTCGAATCTCCTTTACGGATGATCTTCGAGTGCGAGTCGTCAGGCATGTTTTAGGCATCGGAGCTCTTCAGCCTGACGTGCTGGCTTAATAATATCCTCCGTATCGCGTGACAGCCGCAGATATTAAACTCAGAAAAGTGAATCTCACGGAAACCTGACCGAGCACAGTTGGCTCACTTGACTCGTCAGGCAAGTCTTTGATCCCTTTCGGAGAACTCGACGAACTGGAAAAGAGCGGTGTTCCGACGACAGAACGCTCGGACTAGGGAAACCTTGGGTCCAAGTCAGCATCACAACCACTCATTGAGGCGCTCTCCCCTTATACGAATGTGTCTTAAGTTGACCATGAAGTCATCCTTCCAAGAGAGGAAGTATTCTTGACTGTGATCGGTACTTCAGGCGGGGAGAATAGACCGAGCCTCCAGATTAGGTCAATCATCTATCTACGCCTAAAGTTTCCCACCGAAGATCATCCCTCAGCTTTGCTATTTGGGGCCTTGGGCAGCAACGGCCACGGAGATCAGTATCGCCCGTCAAGCGTACTCCAAGATCTCAACTCTCTTATTCAGGTTAGGGCTACGGATAGCTGGCGTGCGTTGACTGCTCTTGGAAGAGACACTAGGTGACAAGCCTACAGCGTACACGCCAGATGCTGATCTATCACATTTTTGCCCACATCTCTCGGATAGAGTTAGCCGGGGATCACCGTCAGGTGCGCTGTCTAGCCTGTCTCATGCAAGGAGATGAGTCTATGATCCAAACAAAGTTCTTCTACGACGAGGCCTCTCTTGAAGCGAGGATGCCTTGGGCAGCAGGGAGGCGCCAGGTAGACGAAAAGAATGCACACTCACCTTTCACATGCTCTCTATATTCCCTGCGTTGAGTTAATCCTAGACGACGCAGGGTACTTCTGTCTGGACAAATAAGTCAGTCCGCTACAACTGTCTCGCTGATATGTAGTTCTCAAGGCAATTCAAATAATCCAGACAAGTCTAGAGGACTGATTAATCTCAACTAGTTCACGTTATTAAAGTCTATGCGTGTCATTACACTCCCCCCTTCCAAGATGATAAGCGAACTCGTACAAAGTCAAATTCCGTAGGGCAGATATACTTTCGCAAGCGCAGTTTATACCTCACACTTGGAATGGATACGTTCATTTCAATTGCAAGCCGTTTAACCAATATTTTTTTTGTGTTTTTTTCGAATTGCCAATTAGTAAATGAATAGCGGTTGAGTAAAGGCAATCCGTGATGCTACTTTGCACGGTCCCTCGACAGAAAATATATCATCTGTTCCGCTTCTCTCTAAGGAAAACGTCGGATATTATCCGTAGAACGAAATTCATCAAAGCATCGAGTATACAGCAGAAATAGATGGATTATCTGAATCTCATCACCTTGTTGATACTACTTGGTTATAATTGTTCTTTCATTTTGTTCTTATATGAAGGCCCGCGAAGTTGGGTGTTGCGGCATCAATCTCTAATATCTACCCATTGTAGGGGGCTCAATGGATCTCCTCAACAGTATGTGAGTTTCGTAGAAGGTAGAGATATTGGTAACCACAAGCAGACCTTCACGAGTACTTGTGTGCGCAAGGCGAGAAACGACCCTTGTTTCGAGGGGAAAGATGATCATCTTTTGTCTGGATTGAGAAACCGGACAAGGATCGATAGACGCATTTATTGAACGGAAAGTTCCGCCACGATCTCGGCGAGCCAAATCACAATCGATCCATCCAATAGTATGGTCTAGGGATAGGGTACAAGGAATCTAGGTGGAGAAAGGCAAGGTGTGCTTTGCAGGAGTCAGGAGGAGCAATGCAGCCCTCCTGTTTAGTGATCACAGTCTCTAGGTGATTTTGCCTTTCGCGAAGGTTGCTGACTTGGGTTAACTGGGAGTCAGGCACCAGCAAGGCGAATGCTTGGCTTTGAAGATGACACCATGGCTCGTACAAGACATTGTGCGTCGCGAATTCAGGCACCGATGCAGAAATTATTGCTTCTGTGTCCGTGGAATAAGTACCACAGATGGTAAGCGGCACCGACGAATTCGCGCGCGTGCAGAAGTGGATAACTCCCATTGACGAGAAATGGGCTGCACCGTGGAGCTAACGGCACGTCCCACGGGCCGGGCAGCGGCGCGCGGACAGCAGGCCATAACATGCAAGTCGGCCATATGTGGACAGTGGCGTGTCAACTGTTCATGGATTTGACCCAAGAACAGATCTTACTGGAAGATCGAGACTGGCGGTCAGTGGACAGAGATAGAGAGGGGGATGCATGCCAGCTTGCAGTCAAGGAATTCGAATGCACGGTAATTCAGCGTCGATGAAAATGCGTCTAGACTCTTACGACAAACCCACCCAACAAAGGATGGATAGTATATGGTTGTATGTCGGTGCCAGGCCAGCAGCCAGCTGAGCGCCAGAGGGTCCCAGGGTCGGAATATACAGGGCGAGGGGTGATAATGTTACGAAAAACGTTGCTGTGGCTCTTGCCACAACTAAGGAGTCTTCAAAAAGTGGACTTCGTATTTGTACGCCAAAGCAAAAACTACACCGCAAGATCGACGAGGTTATCGCCATTCGCCAAACGACTCTGGGGCCACCAGGGAGGGAGTTGGCGCTGCAACGAAATCTGGTCATGCGGAGTCGGAGTCGGAGCCTGTATCCTGGTCCACTGGATCAGGCATAACGACGCTGTTCAAGTACGTAACCTGTGAAATGATACCGTTGTCAGTAAAACAGCGTTCATGAAAGGACTTCGGGACCATCTTTGCATCTTCTCATAGGATGGCATCAAGCATGATTGTACTAGACGGTGGGGACCATTGTGTCTCAGAGGCTACACCGCTGAAGTGGCTGGGAAAGGCATAACGAAGAGGGGAACAAGAACCAGACAAGGGCCATGTATCCGCTACGGAATGGTAAGATCCAATAGATAGAGACGCGGACGGGCGGGAGAAAAGCCAAATGAGGCTGCGCAACAAGGGTGGCTAGCATGGCTTACAAAGGGTTCCATGACACCAATGATGGCGGCAATTCTCTCTTGCACATTCGAGGCCATAAATTCCGAGTCGGAGAGGGGCTTTCCAATGGTGAAACTGCGTAGACGGAGTAATTCGATGTTTTCGTTGTCGGCCTCGTAACCCTACAGAGGAACCAAGTTTGTCAGCAGTCAGTGCTACAGACCGTGAAAATGAAACTAAGACGCGGCACAAAAGACCCGCCAGTAGGCAGATGCTGAACCATGGAAACAGATGAGACGGTGCAGAAAACTCTTCGACACCAAAAGCAACTCCGGTGGGACAACGATGGCATTTCCGCGCTGGTCCCAGGAACCAAGTTTCAGGAGTCCAGAATTATGAGCAGAACGCTTTCTGGGGCGAGCGAATATTGTCTCAGGCTTGTAGGCTCGCAGACTCCCGACTCACGAGGTTCGGGTGTGAGAACGCGAGCTCCAAATACGGGTAGCTCCGGCTACCCGAGCGCGGCTGCGCTTCTTGCCATCAACAACCTCGACACACACAAAGCAGTGAAGAACAACTGCCCATCGATGCTGTCATATTTAGCTGCTTCTCTTTCTGAGACGACAGCCCAAAGCATTGCTTGATTGGCCAGAAAGCGTCTTTTGAACGAGCAGACCTTGTCATCCTTGATGGGGCCATCACTAACCAGCAGTAGCACGGCGCCCAAGAGGCACTCTGGAACACCCCTGAGCGTGGCACCCTAACCTGTTTCTAATTGCCCATCTGTAGAGTTCTGCTCGAAAGAATTTGATAGGAACGCTTTGCGCCCGTGACAGTGGTGGTTGATGTGTGCCAGTCATGGGATGAAACATCGAGAAAGAGCTGTACCTACCTTGGGCTTTGTTTTGAGCGCGCTTTCTTTGTTTTGACTAACAAGAGCCTGTACAGCCTTCTTTTCGTCGTCGGGAATCCCATTGAAAAACTCGCGGCGCACGTCCGGTCTTCGCAGCACAGCCTTCAAACGATGCGAATTATTGTCGATATCCTCTCGAAGAAGAGCAAGCTTATCAGCTTCTGGGTGCCAGAGTCCTGAGCCTGTGACAGCACCAACTTTGTGAGCTTAAGGCATCATGGCCTGGAGATAATGGGGGAAGAGAACAAGATTTTGGAAGCATGGGTGTCACCAGTTCTCGAAGGAGACGTAGTCGCCGACGGAGCCCGTGAAATGGTCCAGACAGAGAATTTGCCCAGAGTCAAGTCGGAATGAGGGTAAACTGGTGCTGGTGCAGAACAACTTGGAAGCGGGATTCACTCTGAGCGGCAGAGGCCGATGAGTTTCAGGGAATAACTCACCGACAAAGCAAGATCCGGGCTGCAGATGCACATAATAAGCGGCATAAGGGCCTTTTCTGCCGGTGCGGGACCTTATGAAAGGCGTTCAGTCAATGAATCTTTTACACAAGAGCAGAGAATGAACCTACCATGCAGCTGAAAAGTGTGTCTAGTCATAGCAATCGTCAACCCACCAACGATCTGAACATTGGGCACGCTAAACGCAGCATGTTGACAGGTCATGCTTGAATATAATACATACCTTGTATGGAGTGGGGTCTTTGCTGAATCGAATGTCTCTATGGATGCGGAAGACCTGGCAGGACACAAAGTCAATGCATTTGCTTCGTTTCGCCTCATCGGTTTATTTTCCCCTTCCCGGGTTCTAACGATGACAAAGTTGTTTCGAAAAGGTGACACTTACGATATCCTTTGCAGGCAACTCAGGGATGGTGCTGTCCAGCTCTGATATTTTTTCTGAGAGACTCTCGACGAAGGTTTCCCAGTCTTTCTTCGAGGCACGATAATCCGCGTCATGTGCTGCCCAGATGATAGTTGGTTAGACATGTTTAAAAATGGTATATACATTCTGTCGTCAATACCTTTGAGCCACTGTCTGTCGTTATGTTTCGCCAAATCTTGCAGGAAAAGCATGGTGTTCGGATGCAGTGTATGGTCCTGATAGGGAATATCTCCGGGATCTCTGGCTTTAGGTTTTTTGATGAAGACTTCTTTTCCAGGTCCTAAACCAGTGCTGACACCCTCTCTCCATAGTTCTCTGTCCTTTAGCGAAGCCGCTATCTCCTCATTAGGGTGGTCTTCTTCCTTTTTTTCTTTGCTTCTTCTCGCACCGCTTTTCACTGGTGTCTTTCGACCTCCGCTAGGTTTAACCTTCTTTGTTGCCGATATTTTCGTTCTCTCCTCATCTGTAGATAGCGCCTCCGGTTCCTCAGAGTCCGGTTCAGTTGACGGGGAGGACAAGTTTGCATCTTCGTAGGCTGAACCTGAGTCTTCTTCCACTTCGAATGCATGACTGGATCCAGGGTCTGATTCTTCATGTCCCTCGTCTTCAAAATATTTGCTCTTTCTGGCGGTAGACCTGACGGCCTTCTTGGCGGTTGTGCTGTTGTACCTTTGTCTTTTCGGATCTGTTTTTGAACCTGCAGAGATTCTGTCAGACGCGCGCCTTTTTGGAGTCGGCGCTGGAGCTGCCGCAGGCGCGGGAACGGCCCGAGACGATCGACGAGGCATTAGGTCCGAAAGATGGCAAGATAAGAAATTGCTTGAATGTACCGTTTTTTCTTTCAGAGCAAGCTATTATGGGAGACGAGTCTCTGATGATATATACGTAGCTACTTAAGATAAAGAGGAGCCGAGTGGTAGCAGGAATTTGTGGGTAAGCGATAGTCTATGACATTTAAAAGATTGTCCGCTGTTTGCTTCGTAACGGGCTGACGGAACAAGCGGGCTATGCAAGATTTAGTTAGCGATTGATTGACTTCGATGCGGTTCAAGCGGATGACGGGACAAACCAGGAGGCTGGTAACTTATGGGGCGCTTTTCGCGTGGAAAAGGCGGAAGGGTCCTTTGCTCCCGTGCCACTAAACTTAGCGCGCGCGCGCTCGCTTGATAGACGACAGTCGCTAGCGAAAAGCTTTGGTGATGCCGTGAGTCTGGATGACATGTTTTATGAACAAGACATCCCCGCATCTATAAATTTCCAAGCTTCTCTTCGTATCCGTGAGAGGCCTATTATATTGGTAGACAAACGGAAAGACACTAGCCATTCTGCAACAGACCGATTCAAATTTCACCATCATTGCTGGACATCTCAGTCGACCCTTTGCTGAAACAGACCGCGATATTTCAGGGTGATTCAACTACAGTTAGAGGGCGTCATAGCGCAGAGGCGAGTCATGGGCAATCCGGAGGTAGGCACGATTCCAGAGGTCTTTGAATCTCGAAAGCGCAAGATTCTGGCCGAACTGTCTGCCCCAGACACAGAGTATACGGATCTTTCACCCAAAGGATCGGTAGATGAGGACATCCGCGACTTAATCCAAGATATAAATGCTCTGCCCGGTCTGGTGACCACCAGTAGTTGTTCTGGACGAATCAGCGTCTTCTTGGAGGGGAGAAAAAAGCAAAATGACCAACAGCAGGAGCAACGGCAGTTCGCGCCCTCCGGAGGCAAAGGGGCAGGGAAGTGGCTGTATGTCTCGCACGATCCTTTGAAAGACTACTGGACCGGCTGTGGTGGCGATGATTCCGATTTGCGGCAAGGCAAAGATTATCCGAGAAGTCTGCATGAATTGTTTGGGATGGTTCAGGGAGGTGGAAAGCCTCTGAGGCTGAAAGAAGGAGGTCACGCCCCGCGTCTGGTGCGCTTCCACTACGATCCTATGGTAGGCTGACAATCCTTTATCATCCGACTCTCAATACAATGCTGGTCGACATATCTCGTCCTTTTTCTGGCTCTACTCCATGGCAGTCTTTTCAGAACTTTCAAGCGTCTTTCATCATGTTCGATTCAGCAAATCAGACAACTCATGCTGATACACTTCTCTCAATAGATCCTTCACATCATGGCAGCCACGCTTCACCACGCTCATCCTGTGTTGTCCGCTGCTGCGACTTCTGGATTTCGGGAAAGCGGATTACAGAGTCTCCGTTGCCTTGAAGGTGAGAATGGTCCAAGTCCTATTGTCGCCGTGCGCTCTGCAGGGTTGTCCCTTGAATCTGTCATTGGCTATTGCGAATCTTCCGATGAAGAAGACGATACGAGCGGCAAGGAGCCTGTCATCCGCAGTCTGGTCACAGAAGAATATCTTCAAATGCTGGTCGCCATCTCAAACGAGAGGTTTTCAATCAATGCAGAGCGCAAGGAAAGATTTCGGACAAGCCTACTCAATCTTTGCTCGAGGGAACAACCCTGTGGCTCAAGGACAAGACCAAAGGCTAAACCTGAGGGCTGGGAAGATCCTGCCGCACGCAGAGAGAGGAAGAGGGCGGAAGGGCTTATGAGGAAGAAGTTTCTCGACGCTCAGGCAAAATCTACTGACAACGAGAGTACAGCAACATACGAGACGGAATGGGGGATGGATCCAACGCAATTATGAGAATTCTAGATACATGATCGAGAAACAAGTCATCTAATCTAAATCAGTGATTTGCCGTTGAAGAATAGGTGGTGCCGCCTGAACCGCCAATCATCCGCATGAGCGGGATCCAAGAGGAATCCAGAGATAAATGATATTCGGTACCACGCAACCTCCCAAGCGTTCCTCGAAACAAGCTGAGTTAACACTGCATGATATCTCAATCGATCTCGACTGCGTCAAATTGACTCCAATTCATTGCATCAATCACTCCTTGTGGATCCAGTATCTTCCCGGCCGAAATATCTCAGTGGATAGGAAAGATGAACAGTGCTAGGGTGAGGCAAGCACTCATTGCCCTTCAAAGTACCGAATCGATACAAAGCAGATCTCAAACTGCTGGCGACAATTTACAATGGAGCCAAAAGATAGCAGGACATTGTTTGCCGTCCAAGAATGAAAGTAATCCGGAATTTTGCAGTACCGGCCATCCCACGACTCTGACCCGCTGAAACCTTAATGGTTGCCTGCGGACGGAAGACAAGTGGGAGATGACAGGGTGTTCCGATGACCTGGAAACCTGCCTCGCATACCGGCCGAAGAATGCATATACATTGCACGGCGCCAACCATCATCGCTGCTCTCAGCGAAGGAGCTGCGGCTTCCAAGTTGAACGCTTGCACGGCGCGAAGGTGTTGCGAAAATATCAGTCCTCGAAGATGTCCGAACATTGATTGGACTATTATCGCTCCCAGATGACACGATGGTGTTGGCATGGGACTCGCGGCTGCTTGCGGTAGTGGACTCGGGTAGTAGGCCGGATTGCTTGGTGTTCTCCTGGTCGTTCTTCATCCAGCCCGTCAGGATAAGATGGCTAAGGATGCTCATCTCGTGCGCGGAGGCATCTTCCCATGTCATGGTCTTAGCCATGTTGGACGGCCATTCGAACCAGATAGGACCGTAAGGAGACTCAAGGTGAATGTTCGTCAACGGGAAGTTGTTCGGCAGCTTCATGTCAGTGCGGTCATGGAGGGTACCTTTCGATATCAATTTGACGTAATACTGAATGCTCAATCTGTCAGTGTGTGCCAAACCAGGGCCCGAAAAGCTGCAAAGCTTCGAGACAAGGCCAAGAAAGGAGGACATACCAGCAGTGTGCTCTCGTCAGTCTTTGGCAACTTGACGAGAGTATCGAAAGGGAACCATTTGCCCATGTCTGGGAACTTCAGGATCTCTGTGGTGTCCTCCGAATTGACACACAGCGTGTACTTCTGGCGCTCATTGAAGGCAGGACAGTTCAATCCAGCATAAATAAGCTCTCTCAGCAGCCTTTGATCGAGACCAACTGTGTTCGACCTCTTGACTCGCGCAACGAGAGATAGGATGTGACGATTAACCAGTTCAAACAACTGATTGCGGTCATGAACTGTGTACAGTTTGGTAGCGTACCACGGGAACTAAGCAGAGCCGTGTATGGTTAGCATATTGTCTCTCATGTACGTGCTACGTACAATGGCATCAGACAAAAGGGTTTACCTTGTAGAGTGTGCTGATGGTTGACTCGTAAGTGCGCTGAGGACACTTCGCACAGAACGGAGACTGACAATCTTGTTAGTGCCCTGAGCAGACAAGCGGACAAAGACCGGACTGAATCGAGTGAAGGTTACTTACACGGTGCGGTATCTCTGCATGGCGAATGGCATTGACGATTTCCTCGCTGGTGAAAAAGCCTGAGAATCCAGTAGAAAAGGGGTCATCATTGGGGACGGCGGTAGGCATAGCATCTTTCCAGATAATGCACTTGGCACGAGGGAACAGGTCCTTGAGCAGAGCGTCTTGGTTACTGAACTCAACATCAACAGAGCGATTACCCAGACGAGGAGCGCGGCCGGTCTCATAAATTCGGTTGATGCGAGCAGCTGTCTCCTGGGCATCAGTCGTGGACTGGAACTCCGCATAGCAGTCCATTGTCTTCGCAGTGGAACGTTCCATTATAATATGGATTGCGCAGCCCTGTTGCGGAGTAATGAGGCGTGCCTGGCGACCTAGAAACTGAATGATTTCTTGCCGGGTGACTGAGTAGGGAATCTTCCTTGCTTGTTAGCCGAAGGCCAGTGGACGTTACAACGACTAAAGGACTGTCATGCTTAAGGATATGTGAAGGCTTTGACTTACGTTCGCGATTTTTACCACTCCCCATTGAGGGGGCATTCTCTTGTGGACTTGGCTCCCAATCGGCATCTCAGTGGGAAGGGCCACCGTGTCGAAACTCTTCTCACAGTCACCAGCGGTGGTAGCTACCTCACGATTCTCAGAGTCATGCTCCAGGAGCTGGTGCAAAGAAGAGCGCGGAGCCCAGTGGGAGCCAGCTGGGGCAAACCCCGTCTGCTTGGGACGGACTGAAAGCTGGAGCTGAGTGTTCGAGGTGGGCAGCGGAGCTTGCATTCCGTAAGCTTGTCCTATGACTCCAGGAAGAGCGTGAGCCATAGCCTGCATACCATAAAAAGGGGAGTACATGAAGGGGCCTTCTGGCTGCAATGGTTGGGACGGATTCGGATTGCCTGGAGCCATATACTGCCCCTGCTGCGGAGCAAAGCCCGGCATGCCAGGAGCTCCGAAGGGAAGCATGTTGTAGCTCTGAGGGTAAGGAGGTGTGAAAGGATATCCGGACTCATGCCCAGACATTTGGCTGTTGGTATCCTTGCCCTCCATAGTGAGATGAGATGGTTAACATGCAAGAAGGGTGAAAGAGAAGAGAAGGAAAGAGAAGCACCTCTCATCAGCAGAGACAAGATCTTATTGTTAAAAGCGTCGGGGCAGATGAGGCCATAGTAACAGAATGTTGGGATGAAAAACCCGCTTTGATTCAGTATTCACTCATATTCACTATTCTATGCTGTCTCCACAATAAAGTGTTGTCCACATCTACGGGATTAGACAATGAGCTCTGAGAGGAGACAATATAATGTATGTGTGAGGCCAACAGAGGCAGGCTTAGATATGCTAGATAATGAGTTCTCTATAAGACATCACCAAACTGAACGGAGAAAGAGATGCCCCAAAGGTAGTGCCAAGTCCAGGAACTGACATCTGAAATAGATATCATCAGTAGAGGCTAATCCTTAACAAGACATATGACCAGTGAATGAAGTA